TGTTTGCAGTAACCTTGTCAATAGAGATAGACGTGCCAATTCTGGAAACAATTTTACTTAGCACATTTATATTCCACAGCTCCAAAGGTATTCCGGGGAGATTAATCCACACCGGCATCATATTAACCTCCTTATCATCAAATTCAAAGAGGTCTGGCATAGCTTTAAGCGTCAAATATGTCTACCGAACACAAAATACAGGCCTCCATGCATTACATTCAGCCTTTTCGCATCCGTTTCAAATTTGAAAATCAACCAGCCACTGGAGTGGACAGAATACTGGTACTTGACATTCCAGGAGTCACATAATTTGAGGAGTGCATGTTAACCTGGAAATCTTCCAATAAAGAAACCGACAAGGCCATAGCCCCAAGCCACCTCAATTTTGTCAACCCCAACTTTCTCAATAACAATCTCCTCAGAAGAACAACTGCTTTCAATTTCAAGCTATCATCACAAATGCGATTGTCTTTAAACAGGTTGACCCAAAGGGCCTTAACATTACCTGAGTTCCCTTTCGAATCTTTATTAACATCCCGAGGTTTAGCAAATGAGACATCCGAATCAGTATCCTATATACCTAGGGTACGTGAAAAAGTTGGAGAATTTGCATGAACATCCAATTCAGTAACTAAGACATTTAGTAGAGCTTTGTCAATCAAGAAGCTGGTAGTAGCATTATCTCAGACAGTTGGGGGAGGAAGTGAACTAGGGGAGCCTAGCCCAGCACGGAGGAAGTGGCACAAGGGCCACCAACATGGCCAACCAAGGGAGCAGGCCCAGAAGAGGAGCCCTTTCCCTTAGCCTTAGACGGCCTAAAAGAACAAGAAGATTTTTTCTTGCCATGAAAACAAAGAAGAACAAAAGAAGGAATAGAAAAGTCTAAACGGCAGGCCAAGGGAGAGGCCCAAAGAGGAACTCACACGAAAAAGGGAAAGTCCAGCCCACAGCGCTATAGGCCCAAGAAGGGATCCAGATTGGCCTAAAGCCCCAAATGCACGCTACCACTCTACCAGTAGCGACAGGAGAAAGCACGCAGGTATGATCGCGGCAGGGAAATCAGCTGAAAATTCGGTACAGTACAATCACCGGTCACGAACCATAAAAATTTGAAAATCAAAAACCACAAACCAGAAAAAGTAGACCGCCAAAACCACCAACAGGCCAATAACACACAGTTCTCCAAGAACGCACACAATAACGCCAAGGTAGTGAAGAAGAAAACCACCTAGCATAAACACCCAACCGTCACAAACACCCATTGCCAGTGAGACCGCAGAGAAGTACCAGAGAAGACCAACACAAATCAACCCTCAACCACAGGAAGTGGACAGGTTCAGAAACAATCAACGCCACAAACACCTAGTGAGAACCCAGCAGAACCAGGAATCCAAACCAGTAGAAACTGAGACGAAACACACCAGTAAAACTGCACGTCACAAAGACCTACACACATAAACGATCCAGAAACCCAGAGAAGACCACCATTGAAAATAAGGAGGGTAATCAAAAAAAAATCCAGAGAATGAACTAAACATAAATGGCTTACGAAAAGTCACCCAATAAAAATAAGACCATTCAGATTCCACAAAGCAGATGGAAAATTTGAAATAACCACCAAGGAAACAAATCCCAATAAAAAGAAGACCCGAAATCACTTAAGTGGGAGTGAAATTAGAGCAAGAAGAGAAAGAAACGGTAGAAAAATGAGCAACAAAGTGGGAGTTTCTCTCACTAAGCTCGACAGCATCTCTCTCTAGACTCACTTCACTGATTGAGATTTCTTTCTTATAGTTATTCCTATTATTGGTTGAAGGCTAGCATTCTTTGGTAGTTATCTTAGTGAAATTGAATTCATAGTTGGGGGACTAATGCTACAAGCCCGTAGATGAATGTGCTAAAGACTGTTGGTAAGTAGTGAGTCCTTGATGGATCTGCTCATGATTATCTAATCGTTAGGAGGGAGGTTTGACAATACATGCTAGTGAGTTGAGGCATCCACCAACCTTCAAAGTGTTATCATAATATCATCACTAACACTGGAGTTGAGGCAAGCTCCGAATCTTGGCTTATGATTCAAAAAACCTCATCGAGATGAGGAAGTTGAGGTCCTCTATAGGACTCTCTTCATTAATTCATTAAGGATTGTTTCTCTGTTCTATTTGAAAATCCAATGAGTGACTTGATGTCGTCTTTAGGTCTCTCTCCATTAATTCATTGAAGATTATAAGTTCTACTCTATTTGAAAATCCAATAAGGGAGTGGATGTCTTCTTTAGACCTTTCTCTATTAAATTAACGAGGAGATGATTTTGTTATATTTGAAAACCAAGTGAGGGAGTCAAGGTCCTATTTAGGCATTTCTTCCCTACTTATTGAGATCATATAAAGACGTAAGCAAGGGAATTAAGCTAATAACCCAAAGTGGATTTATCATCATCTGCCAATGTGCAAGCCAATCTCTTGGATATTGAAAGAGTATCTCAAGGGAAACATGGGGATTGAAAAAATACCTCAAATAAACACACCCAACAGGGGAGCTAAGTTAAGAACTCAATGTGACCTTACATCCTTTAACATGCACGGACAAATTTCTTATGATTGAACGAACATTCCCTGATTAATGGCCCGAATTGAAAGAATATTTGTGGTCGAATTCTTGGCATTGAAAGAACATCCCTCATAATTGTCCTCGATTTGAAAGAGTATCTGGGGTCTTTTCTAGTAAAGAAAAATACTACATCCGTTCCAATTATATAGACTTGTTTCGTTTTTCACACGGATTAAGAAAGATTCTTTAATATCATTGGAAAATTAATTTTTGTCAAGATCTTTCCTAATTTACCCTTATTTAATTTTCAGTATGTTAACTAAATTATTGTTGGAACTAATAAAGAATTTGAAGAAGAAGAAGAAGAAGAAGAAGAAATTAGAGTTGTTCCATGTTTCCAAGAAGTGGGAAATGTGTATATTTGGAAAATTTCAAAAAGTTGACATATTAAGTGGGGAAAATTTAATAAGGGTATATTGGTAAAAGAATACAATAAAATATTTTATATTAAGAAACAAGCCTATATATTTGGAATAAGAGAAAAAGGAAACTCGACCTATATAATTGGGGGGGAGGGAGTATCAGATATTGAAAGAATATCCCAAGTCGAAATGGCTACATAATTATATAGGCACTGAATTTCATATGATGCCTTGGTGTCTTCAAGAGCCCATTATTCTACTTTGGCCTTTGTACAATATAATACTTCAAAAAAAAAGGGAGAAATCGTGCAATGATCAATTTTTTTATATTTCAATAATTTCAGCATTTGCAACAACGAAGGCCATCGTCTGCCCACGTATCTCTGAATATTCTCACATCGGCCGCCGAGGCATAATTGAGTGAAATATGACTCTATTGCCGATTGACACTTAGCAACTGAACATGCATAACCATAACACTTAGTTAAAAATACAATTTAACACCTCAGTCATCTAAAGGTACAAAGTCATCGGACTAAACCTCAGATATGGACGAAAATACTATGTGAATTTTGAAACAACCAACCTAGACATTAGTGCAATAAACTGATGCTTGTACACAATGAATTGCTTGATAAATGATACAGCAACTCACCAAAAATCTTGAAAATTTCATCAATCACGACTTCTAATACAATGAGGAGGGGATGCCACTCATAAAAATGACCAAAACGCCCTTAAATAGCCTATAAATAGATTCATTTGCACAACTAAAAAACGAATTGAAAATCTGAGATCCAAAACTGTAAAAAAGTCACCTCGGGGTCAAGGCAAATTGAAGGTCGATACTATCGAAATTCAAAAACCCTATGATTGAACACCCTATGGCCAAAAATAACATCGTAATCTCTCCATCCTTCTCATTTTCTACTATCAATTGGTTCTAATCACACCTAAAACCTCGAATAGGGGGAGAACTTTGCCAAAATTCTGACATAAAACTTGATTGTTGGCGTAAAAATAATTTTCATTTTTTAAGTTCAATAACTTGAATAAAATTTACTTTCGCACATAATTACTTGTCACCATTAGATATATTAGATATTGTAATCTTTCTTGCACGTCCTTTCGCTTTGTGGATTAACAAGTTCATCTTTGCGTGTTAAATCAAAACAATTGTACCCATTGAATACGTGTTAATTATACAGGAGTGTGAAAAAAACTAATGCTATTTATCATCGTTATAATAGGAAATATATGATATGATAATCCATTATTCCCCGTATTTTTCTCTTTCTCCTCTACTATCTTTCGTAAAAAAAATTGAACTGCTCAATTACATTATTTCATATAGACTATTATATCATCGATATTCCATCATGATGATAAATAGCGTTATTTTTTTTAAAAAAACAAAGATTAATTAAGGAGAGAAGGAGGTGGGTGCAGAACAGAGAAATCGTTCCTACCACGTTTACACAGTTTCAAACGCCGATCCTTTCGTCTCTTCTCTTCTCTGTGACCGCTTCTCCTTCCATCACGTCTCGTGTCTCTCTCCATCCATTTTTCTTCTTTATTTTTTAATGACATGTATATATTATGGATGGATTTTCCATTTCCATTTCCTGCTTCCCACATTTTTCTCTCCACACACACCTTCCAAACCAATAATCATGAAACTAATGGTGCTGAATATAAGGATTCTTTAGCCATACGGCCAATGAATTCTATCAATTATTTGCCGGGATTTTCCTTCTTGTTTTCCCAATTATCATATTTGATGAGTTATTGAATTCCCATTAAAGGATGGTCCAATGATTGAACGGAACAATAATTAATCCAAGGAGAAGCCTCTGGCATTTACTACATTTGGTGAGTCCTTGCATATACATTGATCATACATTTGTATATTTGATATTTAGATGGAAAATTGTCGGTTGGTAATCAACATGAACGATGACGTTTTTGCATTTTCTGCATGATGTTCTTGCAGATTTTTGTTAAGAATCTTGTTCTGGAACCCAAGCAATGCCATTGAATCCCACAGGCAGGGACTTGGACGAGGTCAGTATTTCCTTTGCTTTCTCTTCCAATTCAAGTGCCACTGAAATGGAGAATCATAATCGTATGGATTAATAACAGGGAATGAGTTTTATTTTGTATTTATGGTCCGTTTTCTTTGGAAGAACTATTCTGCAAATAAGAGCCAGCATTATAATTACAAGTGTCTTAGTGCTTACAGGGGATATTCCTATTTTCTTTGATGTTTCTCCTGTGTCTTTTAGTCGTGAATGTGTTTCTGTTACAATACTATTTGAGCAACAGTGGATAAGTATGAGCTTAATATAAACTATGCATTAAAAATACAGGCTGAATAAGTAGGATAAAAATTCAAAGGATTTCGTTATCTTTACTGGAGTGTTGTGAGAATCAAAAGGTTAAGACAGAAAGTCGTAAACCCATTAGTGCATTCTTACATTGTGAATAAGAACTTTATCACTACATTGAGAAGAACATTCTAAACTCCTGTTCTGTTTTGATCTTTTGGCAATTTCACACGATCAATGGTTTTCGGATTTTCAATATGCAACCAGTGAACTAGTGTGGTCACTGAGTAGCTATCACAAATTTCTTCAATGGTTCTAAAATAGATTTTGGTTTCCATTCTTCAATGCTTGAATTTGACTCTTATATTCCCCAGTACTTGACCGGTTAAAAGAAGATTGTTGTATCTCCTTAAATGCAGATGAGTAGCATGCCATTGGAGCAGGCATGCAAGCCTGACAAGATGGACCTGGCTGCCAAAAGTACTAGCATTTCAACTTCCAATCCATCTCATGATTTGAAGAAGTTGAGCCAAGTGCCGAAAAGGAATTCCAATCCAGGTCGTGTTTCACCATGTGAACCTTTAATTGTAGATCCAAATTCCCAAATTAATTTGACTTCCACTCATATGGCATCAGCTGATTCCCAAAAAACTGATGGAATGACAATGACCGGAGGAATTCCATGCCCATTGCCTAGCCCAAATAGAGCTCCAAATTTGGATAACCTGACTGCCACAACCCTAAGTGGACCATTGGCAATATCATCCAACTCAAGTACTGGTAATGCTGTGAGTAGCCAATCAAGCAACAATCCCAGCCGGGGGAGTGTCAACAGCAACCGTAGTAACAGTATGGACAGTTCATGTATACCCCTCAGGCCCCACACTGGTGGCGATGTTAGGTGGGATGCCATTAACTCGGCATCTTCAAGAGATTCTCCACTTGATCTTAGCAATTTTCGGCTCTTGAAGCGGCTTGGTTATGGAGATATTGGAAGTGTCTATCTTGTTGAACTAAGAGGAACTAATGCTTTCTTTGCCATGAAAGTCATGGATAAAGGTTCTCTTGCAAGTAGAAATAAGCTACTTCGAGCTCAAACTGAAAGAGAGATTCTTGGTCTTCTTGACCACCCATTCTTACCTACCTTATACTCTTACTTTGAGACTGAAAAATTTTATTGCTTGGTGATGGAGTTCTGTAGTGGAGGTAATCTTCATAATCTTAGGCAAAAGCAGCCCAACAAGCATTTCACAGAGGAAGCTGCTCGGTCAGTCCCTGCACACGATTTTGATCTTTATATGTCCCTTTCTCTCCTACATGTGGTTTTATTTATAATTTTCTACACTTGCAGTATGAATAAATATAAAAGCAGACTAGTTTTAGGATGTAAATTTTCGCAAGATCCTGAATAGTATAACGTTCTTATGGCCACAGTCGCATTCAAAACTAGGAGAATTTGAAATATATTGATGCTATTTTTGCTCCCTTATAAAGATTTGTGTATCAGAGGATCCCTGCCTCTTTGTGCTGAAAGAAGCTCCTCACTTGTGTGCCCTAGCAACTATATAAGTTGAGACTTTTTTTTCTTGCATGTGTGTCCATTGGAAGGGGGGAGGGAGTCGAGTTGGTTGCTTGATCTAAATTCACGTCCTTGATGTTTTACTAATATAACCTACCTAGCATGACATGCATTCTTCCAAGATATTTAGTTTATATAAACAAGTACATCTACTTATTTTGGTATCCGTGTTAAACACTCGTTAATTGCCTGATCTTGCTGTTAATTCATCTCTTGCACGTATAAAGATATGATGCGTTACATTGCCTCCTTCGTTGGTGCAAAACTGATCTTGTCCCGTCCCAAAAGAGTGATTGGGTATATGCACCATTGCTTCTGAAGTTGTCCAGAGTATCTGTTACAACAAAAATTATAAGAAAAAATAAGATATAATAAGCCTGATAAACACGATAGAAGCAACTGGTGACCTGAGAACATTGAATTGTAGCAACAGCTTATTTGTACTCCTTAGTGCAGTAAGATCTTTTTCTTCCTTACCTTAGTTGTCACTGTAAGAGACAATCTTTTCCCATGCATTACGAGTGCTAAAGCTTCAGTTTCTAACAAATAAGTTATGAAGAAATATGACCGTGAAGAAAAGGAGGGACGTAGAAAGCAATGCTTCTTCTGTCAATCAAAGGTATTTAAAATTTCTACTGAAAATCTTCAAATTAACCTTGGTTATTCATAATTTGGACACAGAAATAGTAATTTGTTTTGTTCAATGACTTAGTAGAGACGCGAATTCTTTGAGTATCATCTTGCTTGTTGTAGTAGTTCGAGCTATTAATCTCCATAGTCAACGGCAGGCTGTGCTTATCCCACTTGAGTGACTTCGATCTGAGTTAGCTTATGAATTAGCATAACCTCTTCCTATGGTTCCAGATTTAGTTTCCTATGCAGAGATGGGGACATAACATTAGTGAAGTAAATTTGACTTTTTGTTAACATATGTTTTGCAGGTTTTATGTATCAGAGGTCTTGTTGGCACTTGAATATCTTCATATGCTTGGAATTGTGTATAGGGATCTAAAGCCAGAAAATGTTCTAGTGAGAGAAGAGGGTCATATCATGCTCTCTGACTTTGACCTATCTCTTCGTTGCTCCGTCAGTCCGACACTTGTTAAGTCTTCATCAGTACATTCTGGAAATCCGAATGGTAGTGTTGCTGGTATCTTAGACGATGAAAATGCCGTGCGTGGTTGTATTCAGCCATCCACTTTTTTCCCTCGCCTTCTTCCTACCAAAAAGAATCGCAAATCTAAATCCGATTTTGGTCTCAATAACAATACAAACTCACTCCCTGAACTAATGGCCGAGCCAACTAATGTGCGTTCCATGTCTTTTGTTGGGACGCACGAATATCTAGCCCCAGAGATCATTCGGGGAGAGGGTCATGGTAGTGCAGTGGATTGGTGGACATTTGGCATTTTCATATATGAGCTCTTACATGGAACAACACCATTCAAGGGTTCTGGAAATCGTGCTACTCTGTTTAACGTAGTTGGACAACCATTAAGATTCCCAGAAACTCCTCAGGTAAGTTCTATGGCACGGGATCTTATAAGAGGGCTCCTGGTGAAGGAACCGCAGAAGAGAATTGCATATAAGAGGGGAGCTACGGAAATAAAACAGCACCCGTTCTTTGAGGGGGTGAACTGGGCATTAGTGAGAAGTGCCATGCCTCCCTGCATACCCGAGCCTGTAGACTTTTTGCAGTTTGCTAGTAAAGACTCTGCCAATTCAGACAAGAAGATGGCAGAGATTGGCAATGATAGGAGCAAGAATAGCTCGACTGATAGTTCTTACGTCGATTTTGAGTACTTTTAGGATTGTATCTCTCAATTGAACTACGATATAATGCATTTCAGTGAGAGTAATTTGTACAAAGAGGAAAAAAATGGCACTTAGAATTCAAGAATGTACTGAACACAACATTGTGGCATAAGGATATAAGAATTTAGAAGAGTATTTATTGCATTGTTTGTTCTTGTACATCCTTACTGATTTTCACATTTTACCTGATTTGAATCTTACACAATTCCTCAGTTTTATTAAGAAAAAAAAATGTTGAACCCCAACTTTGAGGGCTCCTCAACGCCCTACCCCTAGAGTATTGTAGAGGAAGTAAATCGCAGGATGTGCCTCAACAGGCCAGGGTATAAGAGTTGTCATACTGGTGCCCACAAAAAGTCTAATTCCATATTTTGTAAGAGGAAGGAATCAAACTCTCACACTGCAACTGTCAGATCAATTGAGATTACCTCACTCCCGCCCTTTGCACAACTGAGTTATGCCCCGAGGGCAATTCCTCATTTTTATTGTTTGGGGGTGAAGTTTACAAGGGCTATCTTTTTTTTTTTTTTTTTTCAATTTGGGATGACTATGAAAATTGATAAATACAAAGTTTACTCTTAAACCTAGTGAAAATTGATAATTACTCTTAAACCTAATGAATGGTCAAATCAAAGTTTAATCCAACAGTCAAGCATTTTACTTGATTGCAAAAAGTAAATAAACTAATTTTCATAATTAAAATAATTGGTTGGAAATCAGGTCAAACCATCAGAATAAAAAAGGGATTAACATAATCTAAAACTAACTCAATTGATTTTGACGAGAACAAATTTACAAGTAAAAGAAAAGCTGCACTTTCACTGCCAAAATTTCTATCATTCAACTAATCAAGAAGTTGTTTGTATGAAAATCATTTTTCTTTCAAATTCATTTTCAATCACGCTTTCTTCCAATAAAATAATTTTATAATTTTACTTCATTGGACCTTTATTCGCTGTTCAATGTATAAATATAAACAGTTTTGGTATTTATACATCGAGTTTGACACTCCGATATACATTCGGGCTCATGCCCATTAAAAAATTTGTGGATCCCAGTACACACCACGTGGACAAATAGCAAAAGAATAATGCTACTTGCAGTCGCTCACTGCAGCAGTCGTCTTATGTGACACACACATGTCAAGTGTGTATTTGATGCATTAAATGTAGTCAAAAATTACTACATTAATGTATCAAATAACTACATGTCATGTGTGTGCCACATAGGGCGACTGCTGCAGTGAGCGACTACAAGTAGCATTTAAATGATTTATTTAATTTCACCTATTATTTAATGCCACATTAACGCCACATAGACTGGGGACGCATCCCCAGTGGGGATACATTCCCAGTTTATGTGAATGTAAATGATTGGTTAAATGATAGGTGAAATTAAATGATTTATTTAATTTCACCTATTATTTAATGCCACATTAACGCCACAAGATTGGGGACGCATCCCCAGTAGGGATGAATAACATTTCTCTTACTCATAGAAAAATGCTATTCATCCCCAGTGGGGATGCATCTCCAGTCTATGTGGATGTAAATGATTGGTTAAATGATAGGTGAAATTAAATGATTTATTTAATTTCACCTATTATTTAATATCACATTAACGCCACATAAATTGAAAACGCATCTCCAGTGAGGATGAATAGCATTTCTCTTACTCATAGCAAAATCCAAATACAAATGGATTATGACTGCCACCTAAGAACCATGCTATGTGCAAGGCGCGCAGATTTTCAACAAACCACACACAACATAAGTGGGATCCGCATTTTTTACAATATTTTATTCACAATGGAACCCCTCCCCGTGAGATTTTTGGTGAAATTCTGTGGGTTTCAGCCGCCACGTAAACCTGCAAGAGATGAATAGCATTATTATGTTACACGTTTTTTTAAAGCTATCTTGTAACTAAACTAGCGGTATATGCAAAAAATACAATTCATTCTCAGTGAGATGCATCCCCAGTCTATGTGGATGTAAATGATTGGTTAAATGATAGGTGAAATTAAATGACTTATTTAATTTCACATATCATTTAATACCACATTAACGCCATATAGACTGGGGACGCATCCCCAATAGGGATGAATAACATTTCTCTTACTCATAGAAAAATGCTACTCATCCCCAGTGGGGATGCATCCCCAGTCTATGTGGATGTAAATGATTGGTTGAATGATAAGTGAAATTAAATGATTTATTTAATTTCACCTATTATTTAATGTCACATTAACGCCAAATAGACTGAAAACGCATCCCAAGTAAGGATGGATAGCATTTCTCTTACTCATAGCAAAATCCAAATACAAATGGATTATGACTGCCACCTAAGAACCATGCTGTGTGCAAGGCGCGCAGAATTTCACCAAACCACACACAACATAAGTGGGATTCGCATTTTTTACAATATTTTATTCACAATGAAACCCCTCCCCGTGAGATTTTTGGTGAAATTCTGTGGGTTTCAGCCGCCACGTAAACCTGCAAGAGATGAATAGGATTATTATGTTACACGTTTTTTTAAAGCTATCTTAATCTTTTACATCCTCGTTTGTAACTAAACTAGCGGTATATGCTTAAACAGTNTTGTAACTAAACTAGCGGTATATGCTTAAACAGTTTGTTTGGCTTAATTTTATTCCGCCTTTTTTCATCGAGAGAAGCGATCGCGTATCGGTCAGATGGACTTGGAGAAGATAAAGGTCGATAATCCCATCGTTGAGATGGACGGTCAGTCAAAATGTTACTTGTATTTTCTTGTATGCTATTTTCCTTTCAGTCTAAATGGTTTTGCCTTGCTTCCTCCATGTCTTTCACACAAATTTAGGGGTTGCTAAAATTAGGGTGAAATGGTGATGTGATCAGGCTGCGTGTTGATTTTTTGTTGACTGCTTCCCTGTTTAGTCGGGCCTTTTGGGTGATGTTTGAAGGTAATAGTTTGGGAAGTTCGGTTATGAAGGATGAGAATGGTGTTGTAGCAATGGGTTAGGACCTGGTTTTGATGCCTGCTATGGAGGTTAATTGTGATCGGTAATTTTGGTGAAAATGGTCATCGGTGTCGTGACTGTGTCACTCTTCTGTTTAATGCCCTGTGATGAGATACTTGTTCTAATACTACTGCTTTAAAAGCACGAGTAATACGGTCTTTCTTCGAATAACGTATTCATTTATGGAAAACATTGTCACTTCATTTATCTTTCTGCTCCTCTATATTTCTTGAGATGTAAGACATATAGCAATACCATAACAGTGGCAAAATAGCATTCCAACCTCAAATTGATATGGAATAAAATTCAAATTATTTGGTTCATTTGAAGCTATCCTTTTTAGTTGTTTTCTTTGAAACTTGCACACGAATACAAAAATCGACAATTACAGATTCTATCAGTCTATTGAGAGCGGGATTGTTTTTATTCTTATGGTGAACGTTACACAGGTGATGAAATGACTCGCATTATCTGGAAATCGATTAAAGAGAAGGTAGTATTCTACTCCTAAAAGATGAGCTGTATTTTGTATGGGCATCGCATTTGTTTCTCTTCGTGGGAAAAAAAATCTCTTATCCATACTCATGAGCTGTATTTTGTATGGTCATCGCATTTGTTTCTCTTCGTGGGAAAAAAAAATTCTGATCCATACTCATGATTTTTATACAATATTGCAGCTTATACTTCCATTCCTGGAGCTGGATATAAAGTATTTTGACCTTGGACTTCCTCATCGCGAGGCCACTAATGATAAAGTTACAATTGAAAGTGCAGAAGCCACTCTTAAGTACGTGCTACAAATTTATAATTGATATTTCTGTTTTTACTTTGTAAGGTTATGTATTCTGCATGCATTTTCAGATGTACAAATCCAATATCAGTCATTGCTATTAGACCTGAGCACGAGACACTGTCAAAATTTAATCGGTATCGTATTTGAGATAGCTAACAATTTGGATTACCAATTGGGAAAGAAACTATTTTGAATGGATATAATCTGGTAGATAGAAACAAACAAAGATTCTTTTGTCTAACAAATTTTATTATGGAGAAGTGTGAATGCAAATTGAGAACTTTTTTCTATTTATTTCTTAAGCTTATACTTATTAATTATTAGCAGCTGGGCAAAGGAGACAGGCAAGCAGCCCGTTCATACACCATACGACATAAATTGACTACCAGAATTAATTTTTCGTTCTTTTTGTATTTTTTTTCTGTTACATGATAAATTTAATCGATCGAAATTAGTTACTCAATATTGTTCAAATGCAAAGACATATGATAATTAGAATTTCATGAAATCTTAGGCTTTATTAGTTAAATTCCTATTCTGTAAATCATGCGGAGATCTATAGTTAATTAATTAATTCGATGCAAGTGATGGTCAACGAGATTGTCACAGCCGTTGTAATGTGAAATTAAGTGGATAAGGTTACTGAAGCTCTGAATTTTATGTGCTTGCTGTAATCTATGGTAGTATTCTAATACTTCGCCACCTTGCATATTATGGTATTCATCCCAGCAAGATTTTTGCTAAACTCAGAAATCATATGGAATCTGCACAAATTAACTGTGAATATACATGAAAATATTGCTAAGATTAGCAGTCTATTATAAATGTCTCCATCACTTGCATACTGATACTATTTTACTCAAGTGGAACTTGATAACCTTCTTTTTTACCTTTTGTTTTCTCCGGTGATGAACTCTAGGTACAATGTGGCAATTAAATGTGCAACCATTACTCCTGGTATGTATTATTGTCTTTCTTTATGCAATTAAGTTCTCATTTATGTATGTTCGTTTCCTTGGAGAAATATGCTGCAAACCAAAATATTGGTATCAGTTATCTGCTAAACTCAATTTATAATTTCGACTCAAATACTTGAAGATGGCTAGATTATCCTTTTCTCCTGACCTGTCATCACTTCTCCTAAGCATGTGGTTCAATTGTCACATCCGAATCTTGGCTTCACTTGTTTCTGAAGTTTTTTGTCGTTTTGTCCTACACATTTCTCTGACATTTTAAAATTTATTTTGGTTGATCAAATAGATGAGGCACGTGTTAAAGAGTTCAGTCTGAAACATATGTGGAAGAGTCCAAATGGAACCATACGAAACATCTTAAATGGTTTGGAAAATCCTCCATATGAATTCCCAGAATCTTACTCTTGGATTTGATTGCAATATGCACTGGAAATATGATTTTCACTTGCTGCAGGAACAGTATTTAGAGAACCAATTATATGCAAGAATGTCCCCCGGCTTGTCCCAGGTGTTTTCCATAAGTTCCTTCAATTGAAACCACTCTTATCGTCGTCTTTTCTTTCCCAGGTATAGTTAATGTGGTATATTTTCAAATTTTCCAGGTTGGACAAAACCAATATGCATTGGAAGGCATGCTTTTGGTGATCAGTATCGAGCTACTGATTTAGTTATTCAAGGGGCCGGAAAGCTTAAAATAGTGTTTGGTATGCATATGATCTCTATTTGCTTCAAAAACATTTAGTGAATTTGGACTAGCTTTGGAGACATGAGTTGTAGTGTCCTATTGGCTATTATCACTTCATTGCAGTATAGAAGATCTTTGTGTGTCATCCTCTCTAGAAAATTATGTACAGGTCATCAAAGAATGACTTTCAACTTGTTTTGTAGTACCAAATAGTGCTGATGGGAGCACAGAGCTGGAGGTTTACAACTTTACAGGTTCTGGGGGTGTAGCTCTGTCAATGTATAACACTGATGAGGTTTGAATCTACAAATGTCCTATGCTATACTATTGTCATCCTGATATTTTTTTTTCTTAGTTGCCGATCACTCCAGTTTGAATGATTTGACCAAGTTTGATATTGAGGTGGACAGGTTAACGTATGTATCTCCATAGGAGTAACAAAGATGTCATTGAAAATTATCCTTTAAGTGCCGCCAAATCATAATTAGATACGGGATTATACGAGTTCTTGCCTCCATGTCCATGCACAATATCTACGTATATTCTCCGTAAACACCTTGGACTTAATACAGTCTTGATGATGAACTCTGTTTAGACCAGAAAAAGAAAATTGAGAAAGGAATGCTGACTGATGATACTTTAAAGGCTAACATACTTTTGCCAATCTGTACTTTCAGAACCTCATCTAGCTTAGACATTCTCCACAGTAACTGATGGAAGAGAGAAACTAATACTATATTCGAAAGCTTTAACTCTACAAAAGGAAATGCTGATGTAGTTTCTATCAAACAGTCTATTCGTGCTTTTGCTGAGGCTTCAATGAACACTGCTTTCCAGAAACGGTGGCCACTTTATCTTAGCACAAAGAATACAATTTTAAAGAATTACGATGGAAGGTGCGTATGTTTCAGTTTTTACAATTCTCAAACATCCATGGAGGGAGGGGGGAAATGAATTAAAGAAAAGAGAGAACACATTAACCATTTACCCACCGTCCACCCATTCCACTTGAGTGGACATGTTGGTCTTTAATTTTTTGTCTGATTCTCATTTTCTCCTTCAACTCAAGATTTAAGGATATCTTCCAAGAAGTTTATGAAAGAGAATGGAAGTCCAAGTTTGAGTCAGCCGGGATCTGGTTAGTATTCTGCATGCTGGCTTGCTTCTCTTGGTTGAAGAATTTCTCATTAATAAGCTTTTTCACACCGTAGGTATGAACATCGTCTTATTGATGATATGGTTGCTTATGCTCTCAAAAGTGAAGGAGGCTATGTTTGGGCATGCAAAAATTATGATGGGGATGTTCAAAGTGATTTCTTAGCCCAAGGTTTGTTCAAAACTTCAAATTAACTGTAACTTGTAATTTGAGCAGATTTTTCGTTTTTCTTTTTTCCTATGATAATAAAATGTTTACTTTTCATCAAAAGGGACAAAGCAATCTTACTCTTCAGCTGATATTTCAAATTTTTCATGAATGCAGGATTTGGATCTCTTGGTTTGATGACATCAGTACTAGTATGAGTGCTCTATCACCATATCTTCCAATTTTTTGTTCCCTTTCATGACATACCTTGTTAAACTTTGATAAAATTGCATTAGGTATGCCCAGATGGGAAGACAATTGAGGCAGAAGCAGCTCATGGCACAGTTACACGCCATTATCGGGTACATGAAAAAGGAGGTGAAACTAGCACTAACAGCATAGCGTCAATCTTTGCCTGGTCACGGGGTCTTGCACACAGGTAGCAATGTTTTAGACGTCCATCTTTTTCTGTTGCTATTACTTTTTCCAATTTTATATAGTCTTCTTCTCATATATTAAAGTTAGTTAGATATAATCATACTGATGTTTGTAGGGCAAAACTGGACAACAACGCCAGACTCTTGGATTATACCAAGAAACTAGAAGCTGCCTGCATTGCAAGTGTGGAGTCTGGAAAGATGACGAAGGATCTTGCCATACTTATCCATGGGCCTAAGTGAGTAGAATTTGCTGCTTATTTTTCTGTTATATCTGTTATTAGCAATTAGTTATATGTCTGTTTCCTGTGCTGTTTCTTGCAGGGTCACAAGGGCTCGGTATTTGAATACTGAAGAGTTCATTGACTCTGTTGCTGAGGAATTGAGAGCAAGATTGCCTAAAAAAGCGAAGCTGTAAACAGAGTCGAGTTTTGTGCATACAAATAATGTCTGACCCGTAGCACACTGGTTCTTCTCACTTGATGGTCTGAAGCACTAGGTCCATAATAAGTTTTCCCCTGTTTTATCCTCAGTAAACTACATGCATTTCAATTTATTGTTTATCGCTGATGGGGGGTGGGGAACTGCAAAAATAAGTCAGGTTTAGCTTTGTTGTTAAATTGCCACATAATGGCAGCAATTGGTGTTGTAATAGGACTACATGCTGTTAAGACATGATACAAATGCAGTTTTGGCTTTGTTAAAGCAAGCCTCAAATATTACAACAATTTGTTTGTGGCGTATTTTCTTTTACTTACCGTATCAATTTCAACATAAGCGTTTGATTATAGCTTCAATGCAATATTCGAGTGGGTGATATGATCATTTCTTTATTATTATAGGTTATATCAAAAGTCTATTTGACGACAATGTTTGTGTCTGCTCCAATAATCCAAATAAAAATTGCTAGTAATTCAACTAACTAATTTGGAC